CCCGAGCGGCCCATCATCTTCCTCTCAGGCTGCTACACAGCGGTGGCCGTGGCCTACATCGCAGGCTTCCTCCTGGAGGAGAGGGTGGTCTGCAACGAGCGCTTCGCCGAGGACGGCTCCCGCACCGTAGCGCAGGGCACAAAGCGGGAGGGCTGCACCATCCTCTTCATGATGCTCTACTTCTTCGGCATGGCCAGCTCCATCTGGTGGGTCATCCTCTCCCTCACCTGGTTCCTGGCTGCCGGCATGAAGTGGGGCCATGAGGCCATCGAGGCCAACTCCCAGTACTTCCACCTCGCCGCCTGGGCTGTGCCGGCCATCAAGACCATCACCATCCTGGCCCTGGGGCAGGTGGACGGGGACGTCCTTAGCGGTGTCTGCTTTGTGGGCATCAATAATGTGGACGCCCTGCGGGGCTTCGTGCTGGCCCCCTTGTTTGTCTACCTGTTCATCGGCACCTCCTTCCTGCTGGCTGGCTTCGTGTCCCTCTTCAGGATCCGGACCATCATGAAGCACGACGGAACCAAGACGGAAAAGCTGGAGAAGCTCATGGTGAGGATAGGCATCTTCAGCGTCCTCTACACAGTGCCGGCCACCATCGTCATTGCCTGCTATTTTTACGAGCAAGCTTTTAGGGAACAGTGGGAGAGGAGCTGGGTCACACAGAGCTGTAAGAGCTATGCCATCCCCTGCCCCAACAACCACAGCAGCCACCACCCACCCATGAGCCCCGATTTCACCGTCTTCATGATCAAGTATCTCATGACCTTAATCGTGGGCATCACCTCGGGCTTCTGGATCTGGTCTGGGAAAACCCTGAACTCCTGGAGGAAGTTTTACACCAGGCTCACCAACAGCAAGCAGGGCGAGACCACCGTCTAAGACCCCTGCCCGCCGGGCCAGGGGGACGGCGGGCGGCCAGAGGACCGGGGCTCTGCCTTGGGAAGCAGCTCCTTATCCAGCCTGGGCAAACTTTGGGGACCGTGAGTCGCTTCCGCAGGCGGCGGGGAGCGGAGGACGAGCCAGGTGGGGACCCCTGTGCCGGGGATCACCCAGCTCTGCCCTCCCTGCTCCTCTCGAGCTGTCTCCTGTAGGAACTGAACGCACTGTCAGGTTGGGGGAGAGGGATGTAAATAGCCTCTGTAAGATTTTGTAAGTATATTTGTATTTAAATTACAAAAATCTCACTTTTCTTAATTATTTAGGACACTTTTAACCCATTTGCGGATTTTGCTTCCTCACCCCCCCCCCTTTTTTTTAATTAAAAAAAAAGGCGTTGGATTTTTATTTCGTAGGGCAGGATGGGAAAAACTGCCTGTAAGAGCAACCAAAACAAACCCCTTTCTTCTCCCCCACGCAGGTTTTGTAATGGCTTTGCTTGGAGTTTCAGTTGCATGAGCGGCAGGGCCCGGAGTGAGGCTGCCGCCACCGCCGGGGGCGCCTCCTGAGGC